ACAATGTGTTCTAAGAGACCAATTTATAAATGTAGGGAATGAGAAGCTTACTCTCTCTCAGATACTCTGATGAATAGAAATGAATAGAGAAAAGATTAACATTTTCAAACTGACTGAGTAGTTCAGAGTGCTTGAGTGCAAAGTGCTCAAGCCACTTTAACAGGGCTTGATCTACCCAAAATGGCACCAAAAGCTACTGTTTCACAAAGCAAATGGAATTCTCCTTCCCACCTGTATGGATTTGTACTGAATTCAGTAAACTGGGCAAAAACCTCAGCCCAAAACTGTATGGAACCTTGACCGGTAACATAAAACTGATCTTTTACTCCAAGAATTTACAATCAAACTTGAAAAAGATGCAACAAGTGAGCATAATAAATGATAGGAGAATCAGAAAATTATGCAGTCCTGCCATGCACATACTGTCAAAGACTTTTGAACCATTAGAGAGAGAGAGTGTGTGTGTGTGTGTGTGTGTGTGTGTGTGTGTGTGTGAGCGCGCGCACACATGCCCGCGCATGCGTACACATATATGGACACAATAATGTGTATTTAAAAATCAACTCTGACTGCTTCAACAGCCTAGCCAGAATCACATTTGTCATACCACACATGAAGAAGAAACCACTAAACCTAGATTGCTTGCTGATGGATGACATTTTTCTCCACAAACTCTTCCTCAGTTTCTTTACAGGATAATTTTGCCGCAAGGGACTTATTTAGGGAACACAGAACTTGGGTTGGAGGTGGGGCATTTAGCAGGAGAGATATGAGTCTTGTTCTGGTGGTGTATATAGACAGAAAAAACACTTGAAAGGAATAATTTGCTAGGAAGAAGCATATTTTCCACAGCAGAGTGATTAAGAATAATCTTTCAAAAAAATAACCCCCTGGAGTTTTAACATTTATGAAAAGGGGCTGTTTAGAGTAGTCTGCAAGAGAGAAAGTTAATTGTATCTCTATTTAAAAAAAAAGAGTATATCTCATCATAGGCCTTCAGACATCAGCACATCTAAAAGAACCCTTGCAATTCACCTCTCCTTTTAGCTGTTGTGCTAGTTCTGTATCTATGCACAGCATTCCTGTGGCCTATTTTTCTGGGCATTTTTTCCATGCTTAAACTTTGTAAAGGATTCTGATGACTAAATCCAACATAAAATCAGAATACACCAAAAGCTTCCTTCTTCCATGGAGCCTGTAGTACTGATGCTGATGTATTATTTAGGAATAGCTTCTGGACAATGTCATGTTATCAGGAAGGTTCCTAATCAGTTTCAGCAGTCAGCTGCTCACTCCAAAGGTGCATCTGGAAGGATCCAAGCTTGGTTTGGTTTATCAGGCAGAAAATGTTCCATTTAGAAGGGTGATATAAACTGGAATATGACTGTGCCTTTCTCGTTTGCACCACTGCCTGAAGAACTGTCTTTTGATGTCAGCCTGTCTTACTTCATGGCTCCAACCACTGATCTTGGCTTCAATGCTCAGCAATGACATGAATGAGTTTTCCACCACATTCCCTGAAGAGTGTGTAAAATCTTGTGCATAAGTAGTATTACATATTCCTTCCCCTCACTCATTCTCTACTTCTTGCCTGAAGGGAGTAATTTCACACAGTGGATCCCTTCTGTATGGATTTGGGATTTCAATTCTCCAGAGCCAGTGAATCAACTGTCACCATCACCTCCAGGCAAAACTAAAAGTAGGGTCAGGATATGTGCAATTATGGAAACCAAGTTTAATGAAAACAAATGGCTGACAGGTCCACTGGAGTTGGTGGCAACAGGTTCAAAAAGGGAAAAAATACATCTGAACTCCTTTCTTTGTATCAATGGATAAGAAACCTTAATTACCTGAATCTTACAGTACAGCCTAAATTTACATTTTAAGAGCTATTCTAAAATCTGCCCTGCTTAATAATCTGTAACGGCAAGAAAACACTTTAAAGTGTCTTTCACAATTAAACCCAGCCACAACCTTGTATAAATCAAAATTTTGCTACCATATCAAAACGTTACACTGGGGCTGTATAATGTTGCCCATATCCTCATTACATGCTACACTAATTACTACCAGCAGATTCAGAATTTTCTGCACATTAGAGGCTTTTAGAGGAGCTATAAAAAATTTCAGGCACCATTAATTTAAATTTGTATTGAAATTTCCTTTTGACAGATGGCCAAAAATTACTTATTATTTAGAGTACCAGAGCTGCCTGTTTGCACATTAGAAGAGGAAAGGGAAAAATTAAAAGCAAGGAGGAAATTTATGTCACGTTCATTACCTGTTAAATGTTAAGGAGCATTATCCTGCATGAATAAATTATTTCATACAAGCACACAGACTCCAGCTGCTGGCAACTGGCACGTTCTGGCTGATAAAAACCATCTCAAGTCACACAGCAGACAATCATAAAAAGCCTCTCTTAACCAGGAGCCACTTAAGGGAGGACAGATCGATAGAACAAGCGACTAACTGCTACTCTGGGCATCACTGAAAACATTTAAGGAAATTAGCAAACTATTTCACCTTGCAAAGCTGGCAGCAAGCCCTAAATGCTGACAAAATCCAACTCACAATTTGAATGCTGTACAAGACAAACACCTATTTATAGCTATCATTTCAAAATAAATCAGTGCAAAATAGTCACACCTTTCTTTCAGTCTCTGTAGCTGTATGTGTAACAAGTCATTGAACTGCTCTAAATAATTGTAAATGAATTAGACAAAATTTACCTTTCATGTATGAATACTAAATACAATTAACATGCCAGTACAGACCCGTAGCTATTACATGGAGAACAGGGAAACGGGGCTAACCCAGTTTCTGATATAGTGATGTATGGTATACTTTAATAGCATTCTTCATTCACTTTTCTCTTTCCATGTGTGCACCATGTGTGTGTGTGTGGGGGGGGGGGGGGGGTGTATGCATACACACACAGACAACTAGGTAAATTATATATTTATAATCTACATAGGTGTAAATACATGCAAGGCAAACTAAGTAAATTTCATTACTGCTTCAGGTAAATCAAGTAAAGCAGCTGCATAAAACTCCTTTTTATATAATTTTTTCATAAATATACAGATATAAAGAACATGTTTACGGGACTCAAAAAGTCTATTATCCCAAGGTGCCAGGAGTCCTTCCAAGGAGGGTGTCATCAACTGCCATACAATCTAAGCTTTATGAAAGGCAATAAGCTACTTTCTAACCTCTATTGTAGAGAATATACACTAAAAACTGATGCACTGTTGTCTTAAGCCTATAGACAGATGCAGTGCCTCTGTAAAAACTGACAATTCTTGTCAGTTCATGGTTGTTATTCAGAACTGTGTGGGTCACAGTGAAACTGACAACAATCAGGTCAATTTCATTCTGCTGTGACTTCACCAAGTTGCCAGTGGCAGCAGAGGCAAGCTGGGGAAGGGTTGAGCACAGGACACACCCCAGCCTGCAGCTGGAAGAAAAGCTAAAGAAATATTGCTTTGTATCAGAGCAGCCAAAAAGGAGAACAGAGAGAATGTCATTTTCTTCTAGTAGTTAGGGAAGGGTTTGGAGGGGCAGGAGTTAAGATGTTGTATCTCCTAGGCAGAGGATGAAATGAGAGACAGAGCCCCAAGAGCACAGTACTCTGATAAGAATCTGAACAGCTTTTGTGGGGGCTGCGAGCGACTCCTGCCCCTGGCCAGTGTGATTGTCCCTACAGTCAGTCTTCCACATCTAGTAAATATACTCCTTTGACAATTAAATATCTACTAATATTGCCAAACAGTTAGATTTTTAATGTTACTTTTCAGTCATTTGCACAGCTCTTATATTGTTATATATTTTTATTTAAATAGTATTTTAATTAGAAACTTGTTTCAGTTGTTATAAGTACAAAATAAACAATATTCAAGTGCTTGATTTGTCTGGAGAGCGTGACATGGCTCAGTTTAAACTTGATAGGAATAAAGTTACCACCACTAATACCACATCATTGTACTTCTAGGTTCTGGGTAACTTTTTCAAACTGCTGTGTATATTGACAGAAGTTTACATATATTAATTTGATTATGTTCCAGTACAGATGAGCATCCAGGTAGATGTACTTATCCACATTAAAATATACCATAAGGCATTCAGCATTACACAAGCTGCTACATATGCTTAATGTACCTACTAAAAATGTAAATACTTGTAGGAGTGCATGCAATTCATACTATCCACAGAGATTAACATGGGACTAGGAAATCATCCACCAAGATTGGAGTGTAAAGGGTAAACTGGTAGCCACCTTTCACGGGAAAAATAGTTATTTCCTATGACACTTCAGCTCATAGCACTGCTCCTAACAACAATAGGAGAGGAGAGGTGGGGAAGAGGTGGAATTTTATTTCTGTTCCTTGAACAACTGATATTTCTTTCTAGATTTGCAACCAAATATATCTTTAGAACACATTTAAATTAGTTTCCAAAAATGAGTTAAAACCCCACCTTTCACGGGAAAAATAGTTATTTCCTATGACACTTCAGCTCATAGCACTGCTCCTAACAACAATAGGAGAGGAGAGGTGGGGAAGAGGTGGAATTTTATTTCTGTTCCTTGAACAACTGATATTTCTTTCTAGATTTGCAACCAAATATATCTTTAGAACACATTTAAATTAGTTTCCAAAAAGGAGTTAAAACCACCTGCTGCCTTTTTTTTTTCTCTCATTAGGGGGATACAAGATTTATTCCATGGTTTAGAACAGGCACAATGCTAAAAGAGTCAGCCAATGAGGCAAAAATTCAACTCACTGGCTTATAAATCATCCTGCAATCTTAGAGGCGTTTATGCCCAGGCACTCTCTTAATGAAATAACTTTATCTGCATGGGACTCTGCTGATAATCAGTGAGTGTCACAACCCAGCTTCAATTCATGACATTTTCTACACTTCTGGTTCAAACTGCAATGAAATGTGCTGTGCAATTCCTTTAAGCTATTCCTTGCACCTATGAAATGGAATCGTACCTTTATGGAGTCTCTGTCTGCATGCAGAGCAGCAGCAGCAGCAAAGCAGGAGGCGGCGGCAGTGGTGGAGGGGGATAGGGAGAAAAAGAGAAAAGTAATAGTTAGTTTACACTAAATTATATATTAATCATACTTGGCAGAAAGAATCCTCATGTCTGTTAAATAAGAAATTGCATAGGTGTTAACTTGACTATACAGTTAATTATTAATACTGTACAGCCAGACTTTATATACTCTGATTTCTACTATCTGAACCCATTTACTGAATGACTATGATTAGCTAACAAATACCAGAGCAATTATGGAGAAGGTCCCATCAAAACTGTTTTGTTAAAGAGCAAACAAACAAACAAGCAAACAAGCAAGCAAAAAGCCTATTGCCGAACAAAGCCTTGTGCTCATCTAGCAGCTCCTACCTCTTTGGTGATCGTTTTCGTGATGCTTCTTTTCATCTTTAATTGGGAGGTGGGACTGCCCACCCAGTGCACTGGACAAAGCTAAGAGACCAGCACTGCTGCCAATTGGTGGGATGGTTGGAGGCTGCAAGCCCGAAGGGTGTGGAGTGAGAGGCACTGGAAGACCATGTCCATGTGATAAATGCTGGGCTTGGAGTTGTTGCTGCTGTGAAAAATTAAACAGAGATATTGAACTTGTCCTGAAAAAGAGGGTGTTTAGGACAGAGAGGATGGGGATTGGAGTGGTATTTACAGATTGATTGATTGATTGGTTGATTATATATTGCATATTGATATAGACAACTGTAGATACATACATACGTACGTTTTGAGACAACATCAATGCCCACAGATTTGGGCACAGTGTAGTCTTTAAATCTCATTTAGACTCGAGTCTGAATTAAACAACAAATTAATGAGAATCACATAAACAGATCTGCTGGTTTTGTCCAAGGAATCACGTTCGACTAAGGACTTTATTCTTATATGAACAGACACACACAAACATGTCTAATCAAAACATATGTGAATAACTAAAAGCAGCTATATAGTGCAAGGGGAAAAAAAGCTGAAAATTGAGAAAATTAGTGTTAAACAGTTCTCCCGGCGCTACTGCACAGCATGCAGCGAGAGTTAATTTGAAAGAGAAAACCTGAATTAACAATCCAGAAAAGGAAACTGGTTGCAGCCACCGTTTTAAGCCCTTTAAGTGTCCTCAGCGGTACTTGAGCAAATTACTAAAGAAAATCTAATGTAGCAAGGCTTGGGTCCTCCTGTAGGCTTGCTCAATAATGCTGAAATAATTGGGCACTCTGTGCACGTTTAGTGATGCTCGAATGAAAAGCTAGAGGCCTGCCCTTGTACTCTTCTCTAGCTGCTGACTCTGTGTTGTGACAGGTTTATTTGAGTGGGACTGTGATGCATGCACCAGTAACTGCACTGACAAGAGTTTAAAGTCATTTTTACCAGTACACTGGCAACACATAGAGAAAGCCCTTGAGAGGTTAGAATTGGAGTGCTTGACCTCAGCCAAGGCTGCATCAAGCTCTGTGCTATACTAACCATTGTGGGGTAGATGGTTTGTTGTTGCTATTGAATGGAAAGAAAAAAATGTTATGTTAAATATATCCCAACAGGGATCTGTTCAGTACAAGACATGTTCCCTAATAGTCTACCAAATTTCTGTTCAAACATTCACTAGATTAGCTTTGAAATTTACTTTTGCCTTTTAAGCAGTCACTTCTCAGGGCTAACTGATGATAAATCAAATCCCTCCCCTCCATGACTTTCTAAAGATTCACAAGTCAAAAGCCTTACACTTGCTTCATGTCAAAATAGGGCTTTTAAAATTTCTAAGTCTTGTCCTGTCTGCATTTATTTTATTTTATTTTAATCAAAATGTACCTGACAGCCCACCTCTCTGTCTCTTGGCTTTAGTCTATCAAGATACATACATTAGTGCTCCCTTCCAACCTGGCATGAATTCTTAATCCAGGTGTCAAGGCAGATTTTATTTAAAAGAATATAACCAACATAAAAAGCACTATGTAGAGGGCGTGAAACACTGAGGGTACTCATTTGCATTTTCTAAAAGATGCTAATCTCGAATCACAAACACTTTTCCTCGTTTTTGAAATTTAACAGTGGCTTTGGAACCAGGACAGTAGTGTCAACCCTATCCCATGCTAGCCACCTCTGCCCAAACTTTATTAAAAAGAAGCAAAAGCAAACAAACAAACAAACAAACATCATCAACAAAAGAAACAGAATTATTTTACAAGAAAAAGGAAAGGGACACTCATAATCCTAGGTCCATGTCATCCTTGGAGGCTCTCCTTTTTGTGGAAAGCATTAAATGCATTTGTTTGTTTGATGCTCTTATGGAAGGATGCTTCGCTGATCAAAATTTAAAATCAACTGCAACAAAATGAAACTGGAGCCAACTGTGTATTGTTTAGCTCCAGGGTTGAAGGTTGGGGCCACCTTGTAACAGATTGCAAGCATGCTGGCTTGATGGAGATTTTTTTGGGGGGGTGGGTGGGCAAAGGGGCCAGCAGCAGGGAAGAGAGAGTTAGACAGAGGATGGAGAATGACATTCTGTGATCAAGAATCTCAACTTTCATTTTAACACAGTCTCTAGTCTTTGCTGCTGTGAACAAAGCCTTCAAGCACAATATTAAACAATGAAGAGATGCCTGCCTGAATCTGCAGACAGTTTGAAATAAGAGTTATGAGAGGTGTCCTTCTTACTGGGATGTTAACTATGCCAGATGTTATCACTGTTAACTATCTTGTTGCTGGCCAAAGTACACAGAGAAAGGGTGTTAATCAGGAAGCACTGCACCATCTACAACGTATGGTATGTCAGGCAAGTGCTGGCCAGTACATGGACAGAGTACCCACACTGATCAGTACAATGGCAGTCTAACGCTCTGCATCAGTGATGCAGTAAACAGCAGAAGCATCTTCCATATAGAGGTTAGGTGTTATAAACAGTGTGCAGTGATACCTGTGGTTAAGTTGCCTACTTGTTTCCAATACAATAGAGCATCCATAGTTGCCTATTTGGCTCATTTGCTCTTGGCCAAGAAGTGATTTGTTTTCCTGCAAGTTTCATTGAAAACAGTTGAGCTGTTTTCAAGCATGCAAAGAGTGGGAGGACAAAAATCACAGCTTTTCTGCTGGAAAAAAGAAATATTTGCAACCTTTCTTTGATCTGTACTAGCAGCTTAGCAGGTGGTGATAGAAACCTGAAATCTGGCAGAGTCGTGTTCCTGTAAGTCACAAGGTGCTTTTCACTGGGCCTGGAGAATTTAGAATTGACCTAGGCAAGTTGTAATGTTTTAAAAGAAAATCCTTTGGGTACTACAGGTGGGATTGTGCAAAATGGTTTCAGCTAAGTAGCTCCCAACTTTCAAGTGTCATACGTGCATCTATAAACAATACGTATATCCACACACTACATGATGTCTGTATATGTATGCATGATTAAACAAAAGGGGAATGGCAGGTTTAACAGAGAGGATTGCAAAATATGGTTACACCAGTGCATACAAAAGCAAAGGGATCTGAGAAGTTGTGCCCCTTCCACATGAGTGGGGTGGTGAGAAGGTTAAGAAAAAAGAAACACTGGTTCAAAAACGAAAATGAGAACAAAAATAAAAAATACTGAACAGCTGCGTCATCCTCTTGGGTGCTAACGGAGCCATGGATCCTTACAGAGGCAATAGGATTGTATACTTAAGGGCTGAGTCCTAATGCAGAAGGTGACAACATTAAAAATGGCTGTGGCTAGATATAGGAATTACACATAAACCAGTGTAAGTGATCAGAAACCGGTCTACACCCATAACCAAACAGAAGTTCAGCACACACAGACTGGTTTAAAAATGGTGGAAACCAGTATAAGATATGGATCGATGTGGTATCAGACTTAAACAATTTAGGCTAGACCCATATATCAAACGTCTGTACCAGATTGCCTCCCGACTCAAGTTAGGTTGCTGTCTGCCGGCATTCTGGACTGCTTTGCAGCCCCCCCACTAACCTCCTCCTTGCAGGGAGGCACTCTAGCAGCTGGCCTGCGCTTGGCTGCTCTGGCTGAGTGACTACCTGGCCCTGCCTCTGGGCTCTCACAGAGCCAAGTCAGCAAAGCCCCTTTACCTAGCCCCACTTTCCGCCTCCTGCCTGTGGCCAGTTGTGAGCCACAGCAAAGCCCAGGTAGAGGGCTGGAATAGAGACTTCTGCCCCACAAACCCAGCACTAACTCTCTCAGACCACAGTCCCTCTGCCCAGCCCTGCATCCTGCCAGCTGACAGCCACAGGTAGGGGGGAGGAAGTATCTGTAGCTGAGTATTTTTATTTCTTTATACAATGTACCTAGGCAGGGCAGGAGGGAGGGCTGCTCTACAGAAGGCAAGCTCAGGCCTTTCAGAGCTCCTGTGAATGGCAGGCAGTGGCAGCAGGCACCCAGCAGCCCCACACCAGAGCTCTGAGGGGCCCAAACCTTTCTTCTGTGGAGTGTCTCCCCCCCCACTGCTGCTGACCAGGCTGCCGGGCGTGCCACAGAGACCTGCTCTGGGGCTCTCCTAGAAGCCTATGGCTGGGTGTGCAGGAGGGTCCACAGTGACAGGCATTAGGGGCATGTTTGCCCATACCCGGCAGTCAATCAGGGGTGGCCTGGCCACTTGGTTCCACTCAGCATTCCCTGGCAGTCTAAGGAGCACACAGGGCATGGCGAGAGGCATGCAGGTGTGCCCCCAACCTGCTGGCCTTGGCCAGTGCATGCAACCTGCATGCTCCTCCCTCTTCAAAGGGTGAACATATGTTCTGTTCGCTTCTGATCTAATCTGTGCTGCTTATAGACACCCGCAGAGGTTAATTCCCCCCCACCCCAACCCCCTCCTCTCCGGGGGCTTTGTGAACGTCTGTACTTACCCTGTGAGTCCTTAACTACTATCTCCTGACCTTTGCTATTGAGACCTATGCTCAGACAAAAATATGTAACCTGGACCTGATTCTCAAATATCCAAGTTATGTTTAGATACAGCTAACGATGGTGGATAGCTGAGGTTTATTAGCATCCAGCCTCTTGACCCTGGTACATATGTTACACAAGTAGGGTCTGTTTGGCCTGGCAGAAAAGTACCATAAAGCAACTGGGCATCATAAATGCAAAGGATACCTCTCCTACCTCAAATGCTTCCTGCCGCCTACTTAGGCTGAGGTGGGAGTGAAGCAGATGGCACTGAATGTGCTTTACACTACCAGACATTCTCTCTGCATGGGAATAATTCTCCATGGGAATCTCCAGAAGGTTTAAGTTTACCCTCTGCTGCAAAAGAGAACTGTCAGGATCAGAAAATCTGATAAAATAAAAAAGGCTAGAACATTAGTGAAAAGCTTTTAACTGAACAAACAAGATCTGAGCATGTCTGAGAAACTGTGTGGGGTTCTGTTATTGTTCTAGGAATCTTTTTACTTCTCTTCCCAACCCCTCCCTTTAGTTCATTATCCCGACTTATGACATTTCTAAACACTTAGTGTACATTTATCTTTAGATGCACATACCCTCCAATGACTACAATGGGACCATTCATGTGCATAAGAGTTAAGCATGTGCATATTTGCAGGAGGAGAGCATAAATTGTAAAAACTTTTCAAGGT